TGTGTGTGTGTGTGTGTTTGTGTATATATACAGAGAGAGAGACTCCTGATGGTGCAGTTTGTATATACAGATGCTGTCCTGTAACTCTGTATGATAAACACTGGACTGATAACCGTGAGGTCTACAGTTCGAGGTTACCAGCTGCTCTGAGGGAGAAAGATGAGACTTCCTGCTCCTTTAAAGATTACATCTATGGAAACCCTATGCAGGTTTGCAAAGTCACAACTGACCAGACAGCACTTAACAAAAATAACAACATATAAAAAAAACTGGTCTCTCATTGGTTTATATCTTGGTTATTCTGGTGGTGGTGGTGTGCCATCCAGTCAGTTTTGACTCATAATGACCCTGTATAGGTTGTAAATCTTCACAGAAACAGAAAGTGTCTCTTTTTTTTTTTTTCCCCATGGAGCTACTGGTGAGTTAGCACTGCTGACCTTGCATTTGGCAGCCTGATGATTAAACCATTATGCCCTCAGGGTTTCTTCTATGGTTATTCTACACTCAAAAGACTGTCTCTCTGCTATAATAGTACCTTCTTTGTGTCCAAAAAGGCTTTATTTGGAGACTCAGAGAGGACATTATTTTTCATTTCTCTCTGCTATCCTTTATCCATAAATGAATGTCAAATACTTTGAACCTTTCATTCCTTTATGATTGTTTGTTTTAAGGTTATTTAGCATCACTATAGGACACAGTTTTATGTCTGGCCAATATAAATTCAGTAAGTCTTAAAGTAAATGTTTCATGGGTTTAAGGATTTTTTCATTTTCAAATGTCTGATTTTATTTGTGGTAGTTAAGATTTTGTGTCAATTTGGTTGGGTGTGGATTTTCAGTGGTTTAGCAGTCAGCCCCCATGATGTGATTTCATGTAATTAACCCTGATCTTAAATAATTATGTGTTGTCACTTCTATGATGCTAACGAGGTCAGATGCAATCTACAAGATTGGGTTGCATCTTGAAATAATCTCTATTGAGATGCAAAAGGAGAGAGAAGTGAACAGAGAAGGACCGAAAACCACCAAGACAGAAGTTCCTTGAATGGAGTGCACCCTTTTGACCTGGAATCTCTCCACTGAGAAGCTCCTACATTCAGGGGAAGATTGATGCCAAGACACATGGAGATCTCCAAGGAATGCTGGGCCTACTGATGCTGACAAGAGACAAGAATTTTTCACAGAACTGACAAAAAGAAAGCTTTCCCCTATAGCCAGTGTGCTGAATTTAAACTTCTAACCTCCTAAATTAGAGTCCTGCCTGGTGTGACACTGTGGGTGAATGTGCCAGACTGCAAAGCCATGTGAACTGCAAGGTCAGCGGTTCAAGCTCACCAGTCGCTCCTCGGAAACCCTATATAGGGTCGCTATGGGTCAGAACTGACTCGATGGCACTTAACAACAACAACCTCCTAAATTATTCAAAGCCACCAGTTGATCCTCAGAAGCATTATACAGGGTTCACTATATAACAGAAGGAGCTCTGGCAGCATAATGGTTACGAATCAGGCTGCGAATCACAAGGTCAGCAGTTCAAAACTAGCTGTTCTGCAGGAGAAAGATGAAGCTTTCTGCTCCCGTAAAGATTTACTGCCTCAGAAACCCTGTACAGGGTTGCTATGAGTCAGAACCAACTCCACGGCACATAACTACCACCACCACCAGGCATCAGAAACTACTCAGTGCACTTAACAACAACAAAGCCATCCACTTGTTATAGCATCACTGCATAACTAAGACACTGTCTACCTCTAATTGTGCCACCAATATCAACCATGCTTACTTGTGTTTTGAGTCCCTTCTGATTAACCGTTATCACCTTCACTACCATGGAATGTCATATCAATCGTATGACTTTATTTTCTCTTATTTCTTTTTCCTTTCTCAATGATTCATTGCAAGATATTTTTCCATGTTCTGCCAAGTAATTTTTCCTTTTAAATTATATACACACTTCTCTTCAACACTATAATCCTACCATCTTCTGGATTTGAAATATACCTCTCAAAAGCCAGCAAATCAAAGTATAGGTACTTTGTTTTCCTTAATAGGTGATTTGTTTCTCCCTCTCTTCCTTTGCCTCACTTTTTTGTTTCTTTGTCCAGTTATTCCTGGCTTTCCTTTCCCTCTCTGCTGTCCCTTCTCTGTGTTAGCATATGTGAAATATGTGTGTCTATGCACATGAGTTGGCTTCATTCTCTATACCTATAACTATCTATTTCCTCCAGCCATCAACTTGCATCTCACTTTTATTTTTCCTCACTGGATATCCATTCAAATTCTGAAGCACTGATTATTGAAAATAATTAATCTTTTATAGTTTAAATTCCAATATTAATAATCCAATTGAATCCAATGCCTTAATCATATGAGGTATTGCTCTGCAGACAAAGGATTTTGATTATTCTTAAGAAAAGTGACCCTGAGCCAACAAAATACAATGTTCTCTCATTTCCTAATAAATGAAATCTTCAGAAATGGGATACATTAAACATTTCTGACTTTTAACTCAGTTAGCAGTTGGTCCTTTTAGAACAAATATTGCACTGGATTGTTCCTTCTTCATTACTTTCTTTCATCATCACTCTAAAGTCCTGGACGTGACTACACAAAGGACTGAAGGATTGTTCTTGGTGGTAGTAAACTTACATGGAAATCATACAAGCATAGGAATTTACTTGGCTTGGATAAATAAAGTTCTTTAACAACTTCATTTGTGCATGTGCATTTTATTTATTCATCCAAGGAATATTATATAAGAAACTTTGCTGGCCTCCAAGTTCCAATTTCTCCAGCACCCTTCCATTCAGCACATTAGATATGACAAATAATCTTAAATTAACATCCTCCCATGTCTTCAACTTGCATGACTTACATATGCCCAATTCATATTCCCAATTTGTGAATTCTACCAGAGTAGTAAAGATGCCATCAGAACCAACTCGATGGCACTTAACAGCAACAACAACATCTCAAGTACAAGAATCTAGTATTTTCCAAAATTTTCTTTGTGTCCTAGAAGTATTTGGTGCAAAGGTGAAGTTTTTGTCTTCCTATCTTTGACAATGAAGTCAAGGGCTTCATTCTTGTTGGATCAACTATCAACACTCATGGAAGCAGCAGTCAAGAAATCAAATGACATATTGCATTTGGCAAATCTGCTGCACAAGACCTTCTTCAAGTGTTGAAGAGCAAAGATGTCAGCTTGAAGACTAAGGTGCACCTGACCCAAGCCATGGTATTTTCAATAACCTCATATGTGTGCCAAAGCTGAACAGTGAATAAGGAAGACCACAGAAGAATTGGTGCTTTCGAGTTATAGTGTTGGAGGAGAATATTGAAAGAGCCATGGGCTGCCAAAAGAACCAACAGATCTGTTTTGGAAGAAGTGTAGCCAGAGTGCTCCTTGGAGGCCAAGATGGCCAAACTTCATCTCTCATACTTCAGACATATTGTCAGGAGGAACCAGTTACTGGAGAAGGATATCATGTTTGGTAAGGTGGAGGGGCAGAGAAAAAGAGGAATACCTCCAGTGAGATGGATTGGCCAAGTGACAGTATCAGTGGTTCAAGTGTGGCAATGATAGTGAGGTTGGCTCAGAATTGGCCAGTGTTTCGTTCTGCTGTGCATAAGGTCATTATGAGTTGGTTGTATCAACTTGATGGCACCTAACAACAACAACCTTTGACAATAGTCACACCTCAAATTCATAAATCCTGGAGTCTACTATGCTTCCAAAAAGACGTACAGTTTCAAAAACTGTGAATAGAGTCACAACTGACTTGATAGCACACAGCCACCACCACCACCACAAATATGCATGTTAAGTAGATAAAGTTCCAGACTAATCCAATCAGTCCCACCTCAACCACTCAGGCAAATAATGTATGCAAGAACCACCACAATTAGGAAACACATATTCTTATTGTTTAATGCCCAGGGATGGGGTGAGTCTGCAAACATGGGAGTAGATATTAAAACTTAATAGTGGCTGAAAAAATCCAGTTTGGAAATGGAAAGATGATCCACTTTCATTTTTGACTCCATAATATTTACAGTGACAATCCTAGACATTCACTTTCGAGTCGCCTCTAGATTTTCAACTTGCAGACAAGGGAGAACTTTGTTTCACAATATTCATCCTTCCATTTCTTAAATCCTGTGAGTCAATGGAAAGAATTAGACTTGGAAGAGAGACATAGGTTTGTCCCTGTAGGATCTAGGACTCAGGGTAAGAAATATGAGCTATGTCTTTGATTTCCTGGATGAGAATCTTGTTTGTCCACCACCCTCATCCCCCAGGTTCATATCTAGGGCTTCAATAAAGGACAATAAGGGTAAGAAATATGAGCTATGTCTTTGATCTCCTGGATGAGAATCTTGTTTGTCCACTACCCTCATTCCCCAGGTTCATATCTAGAGCTTCAGTAAAGGACAATAGCATCAGTTGGATGGTGAGGGGATTTTTTTTGCCTCTGACCTGAGTTTGAAGTCAGGTTGACACAGTAGCCGGCTTTGTCACTACTTGGGGCTCCATTTTCCCAGGCTTTGTACGATACCAGAGATCCACTGCTCTAGCACCAGCAGTGGCCCTGGAAGGGAAAGGGACATAGAAAGAGAGAAGGTAACACTTCCCTTGCGCATACTCAGACACAGGCCAAGGCATACCAAATGAATGTTCATGGGCTAACTCCTGAACATATAACTTTTTCTGTCTATACTCTAACTTTCAGTTTCCATATTCAAATCATGCTAAACCCCTTACCATTCCCAACCAAATAATTAAGGCTCTAAAATTCATATGCAGAACAATAACAGCCCTTAGACAAAATGGTGACTTATTTTTCTTTCCTGTGTCCTTCAAACCCTCACAAATAGGCACACCATTGGCTATTCTTGATATATTGTTGTTGTTGTTAAGTGCCGTGGAGTCGGTTCCGACTCATAGCGACCCTACACAGGGTTTCCGAGGCTGTAAATCTTTACGGGAGCAGACTGGCTCATCTTTCTCCCATGGAAAAGCTGGTAGTTTCGAACTGCTGACCTTGTGGTTCGCAGCCCAATTCATTAGTATAAATACCATCATAAACTGACTCTGAGCTTCTTTCCCACATAGCTGTCATGTTGTTGTTATTAAGTGTTGTCTAGTTGGCTCTGACTCATAGAGACCCTGTATAGCATTAACAAGAAGTGGCAAATGAGTTTGAACCATCGACCCTGTAGTTCAAATCAACCTTGTGGTCCAGGCTTTTATCCTACAGCACCACACCAGGACTCCATAGCTGTCACAGGACTCACTTATAACAGAAATGACTTTCTCTTGTCTCCTTCCCCATGTAGTTGTCATAGGGCTGTCTTATAAAATAAGCAAGAGTTGGTACATAAAAATGCTTTGCAAGGAACAAACAAGATGGCAGATCGGGTGTAAGTGCGGTAAGGGAGCTCCACCAACAACGACACAGAATACCCGACCAAGCAGGCTCAGGGGATGGCCCCAGAACTCTGAATCACATATAAAGGGAGCTCGACCAACAACGACACAGAATACCCGACCAAGCAGGCTCAGGGAATGGTCCCAGAACTCTGAATCATATATAAAGGAAGATTTAGAAGGTTGGAAGGCTTACAGCTGGAGGAATTTGTGGCAGAAGCAAGAAATCCATTGCTTTCTAGTCCTGGGTGCTCAGCTGTTCCAGAAGCCGCCATTTTGGGTGAGAACAAGCGGGGGAAGGATCGGAACGGACACAGACGCCTGGCAGAACCTCAGAGATAAAGGTGTCAACATTCTTTTTTTTGGTAGCTGTTCATTGGGCACTTGCTGTCAGTGCACCTCCATTCTGGTGACTATAGGGGTGCCTGAGCTAGTGGACACCCCAGCCCCAGCCTTAGAGGGTTCTACTACGCATGCTCACAGATCTCCTCGAAATTTAAAGAGACAGTTTCCAATTAAAACCAAACGGTCACAGCCGGCCCTGAACTGTTTACAGCTACAAACAAGGCCTGAACGGGGATTGTGGAGTGGGACAAGCAGACAAAAAAGGAAATATGCCAAAATTTAAATCCTAAGTTACGTCAAAATGACCAACAGTGGCATCTTGAAATTTCTCAAAAAGAAGAATGAAAAGGGAAGCCCATTTCCTGATCACATCTACCTGGAGGCAATCAGAGATCATAAAAAAATACCAAAATACATGCCCTCTAAGTATTAAGGCCACAAATAACCCCTGAATATGCCTAAAAAACAGAAGCAGATGACCATATCTGCACATGTCCAGAAATGAGATAAAGTGACTGAGGCAAATGAGCTGGAAGTACACCTACACTCCATACTGGAAGATGGGCAGACTTTGGAAATGCCAGAGAAGGAATTCAGAAAAACAATTATAAAATGTATCAAAACACTATACAGTGGAGTTGAGAAAAATAAGGATGAAGTCAGGAAAGCGCTACAGGAATAATCAAATAAGATAGATATAGCACTGCAAACAATTTAAAATCTACAGAAAGAGGTCCAAACGATTAATAAAAGAATATCAGAAATGGACAATACATTGAAAGGGCCAAGGAGTAGAATTGAAGAGATAGAAGCCAGAACTAGTGAGCTAGAAGGTAAATCTCTCAACACTACTAAGAAAGAACAAACACAAAAAAGGATAAAGAAATATAAAGAAGCCCTAAGATTAATGTTGGATAATATGAAGAGGAATAACATAAGAATTATTGGCATTCCAGAACAGGAATGATCACACAAGTTCACAGAGGAGATAGTTAAAGAGCTTCTGGAAGAAAAACTTCCTAACATCATGAAAAGTGAAAAGATAAGCATTCAAGAAGCTCAACAAACCCCAAGATGGATACACCCTAAAAGACAATCACCAAGACATATAATAATCAAGCTCTCCAAAATCAAAGATAAAGACAGGATCTTGAAAGTAGCTATGGAAAAAAGAAATATAACATTGAAAGGCAAGCAGATCAGATTTCTCGACAGAAACCATGCAGGCAAGAAGGCAATGGGGAGACATATATAAAACTCTGAAAGAAAAAAAAACTGCCACCCAAGAATCCTCTACCCAGCAAAGCTGTCAATCAAATACGATGGTGTAATCAAAACATTCCAGGATAAACAGAAGCTAAGGGATTTTGCCAAAGCCAACCCTGCTATGAAAAACTTCCTAAAGGAAGTTCTGTGGACTGAGAACTAACAAGAACAGACAACAACTACAAAATGATTGTTTACATACCACATACATGGCAGCATCAACCTGAACTCAGCTGACAAATGGAAGCGTCAAGAACAAAATAAAATTATAAGAACAGAGGATCTGGGAGGTCAGTCTCTGATCAAAACAATTACAATGTGAAAAAAAGGTAAACACAGAAGAACAGAGATCCAGGTGGTGGGAAGTTCAGGTAGATTATTGGATAAAATAGGCTGTCTTTAATGGAGGGAAGAACTAATGGAATATAAGGTAACCACAATGGGGTTAGGATGGGGTGTTTACTTTGGGTGTTGGGGAGGGCAATACAAGAAGGGGGAAGGAGGCAGAAGAACAAAATAGATAGGGGAACACTGACACAGGTTTGTATGGCCTAGTAGGACAGAGGTAAATAGTGATGAATACTCAATCTTGGAACAACAGAGCTCTGTGATACAGGGATCAAGGTATAGCTTGAAGAGGGTAAATAATATTAAAATCCTTGACTGCCTTATGAATATTAGTTTCCCTTGCCTACTATTGTAAAATAGACACTTGAGTGGGGTAGAAAGGAATGTTGGGAAACTTGTAAGCCTGCCTTCAGCCTATAACTGATTGGAATACCTCAAAGGGGTTCTACAACTTGCCCAGTAAAATAGGCCTCATGCAAAGCCTTTATAGAGTATAGGACCTTAGATGGAATTCTGAGTCCCATTCACAAGCTTGTGAGGTAAGACATTCCCACTAGAAAGGACAAGCAGACTGGAACAGCTACAGTGACAGAAGAAACATCTTCATGATGAACCTGACCTATACTCAGAGTGGTATTTACTCTAAATACCAACAGAGAGGAAAAGAGTCTTCAAATCAAGTATCAGTGTTATCCGCTCTGTATACAGGGTATATAGGGACGGGCAACTTAGACACTGGCTACCTAAAACGAGGGGGCAATAGAGGCACAAAGTGACTGGCTTACAAGGTTTCAAGAGGGAGTTTAGTTTAAGAGTATGGGGCAAAAGAAAAAGTCCCCACTGAATAGCTGTCATCTTGTCTAAATGGGTCTGGTGAAAAGAGGTGGGGATAAGATTCAATAGTGAATAACTGTTA